CCTTGAACAGGCTTCCTCTTCCCTAAAGAGGAAGGTTTCTTAGCCGACTGCTCCTTGACCAGAGCAGGCGTCTTTTTATTGATCAGCTCCTGAATCTCTCCCTTGAAGCCCCTCATGAAGGTTATGAGTTCGGTCCTTGTAATGGGAGCAGATTCGTCAGCCGGCTGCTGGTGAGCAGACGGTGCGCCGACTGGATCACTGAGTCCAGTTTGAGGATCTTCCCGTTCTCTCCTTTCGGTATGACGGGTGCGTCGGGCCCTTAGGGTCCCGTCTGAAGCTGTTTGAGCTTCAACTTCAAACTCTTCTTCAGTATCATGGTCCGACTGAACTTGAGGGTCGTCCAAGGGACGCCTCTCTTCAGGAGTCGGTACAGACGTGGATGCCATCTCAAAAGTACTCTCCCCACAGACGGCGCCAAGATGTTTCGGGGTTTTCTGATGTCCTGCGGGAGAGTTACAATTTCGAGACTGGAACCGGACGCCAGTACCTGCAAAACAAACGGATGCTCCGGATGATTGGAGATCCGTCTCCAACGGTCAAGTTAGTACTTCATTAAAGAGTAATTAATGCGGAAATGTAATTTAGTCTCTCTAGGTGAGAGTGTTAAATGTGCGTAATCCCCCTTAATGAGGATTAATGGGCATATTTATATTCCTTGGGATGCGTGCCAATACTAGGTTTAGGTTAAACCTAAGGCTGACTGGGCTTCCCAAAGATTGGGCCTTGTTGGCTGATTTATCCTTTTGGCATGAATGGACACGTGTCGTGTCGCAATTGGTCCACAGAGGACGAATATATGGTTGACACGTGGCAGGCTCCTATTGGCCCATGTGGCGGACACATGGCGGTACCTGAATGGTCCACTTGTCAGATGGTGATTGGTGGATAAAAATCCCCTAATCAACGGGTACTAGTTATTCAGCCAAACATCAACCGACATTTCAGGCCCCAAGGAGTCGAAATATTTTCTCGCAAAATCCAACGGTACATTCTACAAAATTGGTTGTCAACACAAGGATTGCAACATCACAACAAAGGTAATTTCATATATTCAAAATCAATCATATGAAGTTCATTTCTATTTTTTCATTCCATTGCATAATCACTGACCCACTGTTGTGAGTAATAATGTTTATGCAAGTACCAATGCATAATATACTTGTTGGTGTGATTAATTTTTATTCGTAAATTGTAACTAACAATTTAATAATGAATCATCAGTAAGTATATTCTGAAATCTATTTACGTGTAAGCATTAGTAATCAAGGGAAAACATAATCATAGTATAAGGTTGTTGTTCAACCAAGTCAAAATCTGCAACTAATGTCATAAATAACGGCCAAAAATGCACTAGTAGAAATTTTGAAATAGGCACCCCCCCTTTAGCACCGGTTCTTAAAAACCGGTGCCAAAAGAAATGGGCGGAATTGGAAAATTCAGAGTTGGCACCGGTTCCGACCAAAACCGGTGCCAACTAATCTAATTAGCACCGGTTCAAACCGGTGCCAACCAAAAAAAAAAAAAAAAAAAAAGGAAGAAAGCAATAGAGTTTGCACCGATTCGTCTTAAACCGGTGCCCACTATAGTAGTTAGCACCGGTTTGAACCGGTGCCATTAAAAAAAACAGGGCTTCTCGTGTTATTCTTCTTCTTTTCTTTCCGATCCCCTGATTTTTCTAACTTGTTTTTTCCCTCAGCTCGTTCTCACCTTCTCTTTCAGGCCACCACCTCCGAATTCCCACCTTCTCCATTGAAGCCGTTTTTGAGCTCTCTCACTCCATTGAGGCAGCTGCATGCACCTCCTTCTCTCTCCATATCTCTCCTCCATTGAACTCGTGCTCTCTAATCTCCATTGAAGCGCATTCTGAGTTTTCTCACCTCCATTGAAGCAGCTTCGAGGTAAGATTTGGGCCATTGTGGTCTTCTTAATCTACCGAATTTCTTCGCAACCTAGGGGTTGTCGTTGATTTGGTTTTCAATTTTGTAATTTTAGGGTTCTGGTTTGTGGGTCTTTTTGTTAGTTACATGATGTCATTGTTACTTAATTTACTGAGGTTTTGTGAAATTGGATCAAAATTTACTAATTTGTTAGTACTCTATATTTTGCGTATTTCGGTTTGAGATTTGAGGGATGGTTCATGGGGGCGAATTTGATAACAATAAGATATAGTAAAAAAACATGTTCTCTTTTTGATATGTTCTGGGTTTTCATGTAAGATTGTTAAAGGTGTTTTTTTTTTCAATTGTTTGAACTTTCTGGAACTTTGGAAATTTTTTTGACTCTGCATCTGAGTTGTGAATGCTGCTGTAGAAAGTTGCCTTTTTTTTTTTGCCTTTCTAAGCTACATATATGTTGTTGGAATTTGTAAATGCAACTCCTAGAAATTTCTAGGAACTTTCTAAATTTGTGAATTTGTGATATTATGCTTAATCTGATATTTGACTTTGCTACTGTGTTGTACATTCTTGTGGTTGACATTCTTTGACTTTTAAGCCTACGATTTTGGGAATGTTTATTCTTAATTTTTGGATGGAACATCAATTGTGATCTAATATGGTGGTTTGATGTGTAATATTCAGGGTGGATGTGGTTCCTGCTGGTCCTTTAGTACCACTGGAGCCATGGAAGGTGAACACTATATCGCGACTGGGAAACTTGAGAGCCTTAGTGAACAACAACTTCTGGATTGTGATCGTGAGGTTTACACCAATACTTCATGATTTTTACATTAATTGGTTGTATGATGAATTTAGCACTGATTAGGAAGGAGATAGTTTTGGGTTGTTAAATGTCTGAATTAATGCACATCTTTCCCCCTCTAGTAATTTATATATGGTTGAGTACTTGAGTGTTCAATTTATGCTGAAGTCCTTGTGACAGGATCTAGTTGAAGACCAGCAGCTAATCAGACATGTTTGGGGACAGATTACCTTAATCATTGGGTATAGAAGTTTCCACAAAGTTTGGTCCTTCATTTCTCATTTCTGCAATACATGACAATGTTTATAGTCCCTGCTCTCTTCAATTTGATTAATAGGATATAGGATTATTCTGTATTTCTGTTATCTGTCCATGAAGTGCATTATTAGCTGTTTATTTCCCTCGTGACAATGTTCATAGTCCCGATAGTCTCAATTTTATCCTACTCTGATTGCTCTATAATATGTTAAATCCATAAATTTCATTAATTGAGTCTCTGGAACGAGGGAGCAAGCGGCCTACTTGGAGCTAAATAATTTCCTTTCACTTTCGACAGAGATTGGGGTGGTCCACAAAAAAAATTGGGTTAATGTCTCTGTATAATTGAGTCTATGTTCTCTTAAATTTTTATTTTTATTGTCCACATAGATTTTTGTATTGTCTTCCGGGTACCGAGCCCCATAAGTTTTGTTAAAGTCTTCTACTTACACTCCTGCAATTGGTTTGTTCTCTTAAATTTTTGTTTTTATTTTTTTCATTGAGTGCCAGTCCTTTTTTCATCAATCAATAATGTCTTTCACTGCCTTGATAATGTCTTTCATTAAGTGCTATATTGTTTCCTTTATTTATTTATTTGTTATTATATCCCTGCTAGTAGTATGCGAATTCTAGCATTCTTCTTCTTCTCACTTGTGTATACTACCTGTTTACGTTCCTTTGTCCAAGATGTTCATTAGTCCATTTCTCCATTTCCTTGCAAGCTGCTGAATGTTTTTGTATTATTGCAGATATGTGGGCAATTGGTGCAGTAATGGCTGAACTTTTTACCTTGTGTCCTATTTTCCTTGGAGAAAGGTAATGTTTGATTTAGTCTTAGTGTTCTGTCTTGAAGTAATTATTTTAAATAGAGTAATTTGTAGAATTTTGGTTGACATGTTCTTTGGGGGCGTATGTTTTTGCCGATTTATTTGTACCGTTGAAAAAACTTAAATTTCGTTATGGTTTATGTTTTTTACCTTATCTTAGTGATGGTTGCTCCTGCCCCTTGCTTAGTATTCCTTATTTAATTAAATTACTGCACATTATTTATTTAATATTAAGAGTATTTATTTTATTCCATTTCTTTACTTTGATCTTGTAAAATAAACTACAATTAAATTGCCAAAATAGTTTCCCTCCTTCAAATTAGTATGTAACACTCTATGCATAAGATTTTGCATTATAATTGGCAAGGAATGTAGCACAAGCTCCAGATTTTGACTTAAATTTATGATCCTGCTCAACTCTATTACAAAGTATTACAACTAAAAAGGAATATTATTAAGGGTGAACTAAAAGTGAATAAAAAGTTAACCTCTTGGCTGCTCTCTAACTAGATCACTGTCGAATCACTGGAAACTAAAGTTGGCTTACTAAGTTTTATTACTTTGTGCAAATCCGTTAAATGACCCCATTTTGGCTGTTGTAATAATCCTTAAACTAGAAAGAAAAGTTACTGTTTAGCAATTACTCTGAACAGCAGGTTTAAAATATTAGAAAAGGCCCATAATTTCAAGCAAAGGCGCTTGTTTGTAATTGCACCTCATCTTACCCTTTATAGTATCAAGGATAAAATTGATCACTCATATCATTCTATAGGCAGTCAATAGAACAAGTAAAGTCATATCATTGTCCTATAGAGGTAAATGCTTATATGCATATTCCTATAGCTTTTTTACAAGCTTATGTATAATCTGGTAAATAATACACGTTTATTGGTCACACTTTTTATCACCAGTAATTCAAATTCATAATCAAGGGGGTTTGGCTGAACTGAGATCTTAGGTCTTGTTTGCTATGATGCTAAGGTTCCGGCATATTTTTTAACTGTGAAACTCATGCAAGTATTTCCAGTAGTTTGATTTAATACTTTTTTGAGGAGTTATGCATAAGAATGCTGATGTTTGTTTCTTAGAGACAGAAAACTAAAGTTCTGAAATGATAAATAATAGAGAAAATTCTTGGCACTCTAAGTCGAGGAAAATTGGGATTGAAAGCAGAACATTAAAATCATTGTGCCTTTGATGGATTTCACAGGATCATCTCATGCAAGTTGGTCTTGCTACTTTCTTCCAGAGACATCCCAAGAATGTCGGGATCGTGCTTTTGATCTCATGAATCATAAGGAAGCATGGGACAAGGGAATCATAAAAGCAAAAGAGAACTATACTTCTAAAGAGATATGGGCAAGACGGACTCCTAGGTAATTTCTTGCAACTTTTGCTGAGTACTCGTACATTATTTTATGAGGACGATGTGAAATATTCGTCTGTGTACTGAATTACTGCAGAAACTGGGGTGCTCCTTGGAGTTATTTGCAGCCAACAACATAAATTAACGGAAGTTTTGTGGCATTTCATCGGAAAATGGACAGAAGATGGTGGCGATCACAGGTAACTAGTTCATGAATTTGTTATGCTCCTGCTTCGTCTTAAATAGCCTAATTTTTGGATCTGACTTGAGGACAGCAACCTCCTGCTTTTAAAATTTGTACATGATAAATCATCACATGTTACTAACTGTGGTTTAAAATTTATCAAGCTGTACGATATCTAATGAGATTTCCGACTGACTACACAGTTAGCAAATATCTCCAACATCAGCAGAATGATGTCTTATTGGGACACAGGGAACAAAGAATTTATATGAGAATGTTAGCTCATATGGTCTGCCATCAACGAATTTATATGTTGTTTTTTTTTTTCAATTTTGTAAAGTGTAATATTACAAGTTAGTGAACAAAATATATGTGTTTTATGTATATTAGTATTATATATAAATATTTGGTACAATTTAAGTGAAAAAAATGTAAAAAAAAAAAAAGAAATTTATTTTTATTTTTTTGGGGTATTTTTGGCACCGGTTTTGGTCAAAACCGGTGCCAAAAGTTCTTAAAATTATTTTTTTGACACTTTTGGCACTGGTTTAAAGCAAGAACCGGTGCCTAAAGTAGGGTTTTTTGCAGCAAGAACCGGTGCCAATAGTATTGAATATAATAAAATAAATAAAAAAACGCGCCATAGTAGTTGACACCGGTTAACTGGTGCCCAATGCTTTAGTTGGCACCGGTTAACCGGTGCCAAATGCTTTAGTTGGAGCGGTGCCAAATTTTCATGGATTTGGCATCCCTCAAATACCCAACGGCTCAAAACCGGTGCCAAAGGGGGGGGTTTCAACCGGTGCCTTTTTATCTTTTTCGTCTAGTGATGCATTATCATATAAATCGCTTACCAATCTACCTACATTAATGTAGGCTTGCGTGAAAGTTGCTGAGAACTCAGGAAATTCCTCGTCCTCATCGCTGATATCACCATCAATTGAACTCCCATCAGATGATAGAACAATGACATTGGGGCCAATGGCATAAGGGATCTCAATCCCTCCCCTAAGAACACATACATGAAACCACTTATTTCCTTCGTACGTTATTTCCAGCATGTCTTCCAGCTCGATGTCGTTCTCCTCCAAAAATTTTGGCCATCCACTGCCGAAGTGTGTCTCCACCCGATGTCCATACGAAATATAAAGCAAATAGACGCGGTACACCTTAGTTTCCTCGCCTCTCCGAACTTTAACTATGGAAAAACCTCTAACCAACTTATTAACTCTGTTCGGAATTGGATGTAAAGGTGCACAATATTTAACATAATACCATGTGAAAAGCAAGGCATGTTATGAAATTAAATCACATGCAATAGTATAGGAATAAGACTCTCACCACGGTTAGTAACGTGGATTGGTTAACCTCAACCTCAAAGCTTGGCATTTTATTTTCCGCCATGATTACCTGGACAAAACTATAGCCAGTATGTATTGAATATAAAACATAAACTGAAACACACAAGTTATCGATAACTACCATTGGAAAGCAATACCAAAAAAGTCAGTACAAACAACCTGTTCAATCAGTTACAGGTACATACACGTAGGGTTCAACTAACTTCATAAAGCGTAAAACATGGTACACTCTAAATTGCCACTAACAACTTCGTCAATTGCCTCCATTAAGTAAACCAAATAATCTCCTAACTATGTAGTCTTGCACAACTCGGTGGTGTCAAAGACAAAGACATGGTCTAAACTGAAGGACTTAATAATGTTCAATCGCATGGTGTGAAAATAATGTACTTGTTAATGAGGAAAAGAAAAAATTATTATTGAAATTAGCAAGTTAGACCAGAGTTTTTGGAAATGGTTACAAGTCAAAGCTAATACTTCAAGACGTATATTATAATCAAAATATAAACTTGCTACAAAAAAAAAATTATAATGAAAATAATAGTTTTTTTTTTCTTAACACGACAAGCAAAAGTCACCACTCACCACGGCAAAAAGAACTATTTGTCAGAATTAGTTCCGACACATTAAAAAATGGAAAAAGGAACAAGGGAGTTGAAGGACTTTTAGGAGGTGAGAGAGAAGAAGAAGATTAAAGGACAAATGTGGGTAGGTGCGTTGTGTTTTTTTTTTTTTTTTTGGAGCTATACACGGTTAGGGTTTAATTGGGTGATACTACTTGGCAATAATTGAGACAAGGATAGTTGTATTTTTTATTTATTTTCTCGAAAAGGATAGTTGTCTTTTTAGCATAGCACTTTAAAAACCTTCTAGATTCATTCAATCTAATTGGTACACTACCAATGTATGTCATAGTAACATGACGTAAAAGAAGTATAATGGGTAAACACTATGAAATCAGTTTGACTAGTTACATTTTACCTAATATTACTATATAATGTTGTTGACATCGGTTTGTTCAATCGAAAAATTATTGTAATGGAAGACGTTCATTGAAATGCTGTGAAAAATTATTCTTGTTAATGCCGATTAACTAAAAAAAAGGCTATTTATAAAAGCAAGTCTGCCAAGAATTTTTGGGTTGGGTAAAAGATAACATTAAAACTCCAAGTCATATAATATAATAATAATAATAATAACTTCATCCCAAAAATACATTAATAATCTAAACTACAAATTTTAATTTTTTAATCTCACATGCAATAGTCACAATCCAAACAAGTATCATTCTTCAAACTTAGCTCAGATAGGCAGTTTATAAATTCTTCATAACTATTAAATTTTTTCCATTTAAATAAAACATTCGTAACTCAAACCCATATATATCTGGGGATTCCCTTGTATATGCATGGCTAGGTATCTACTTGTCGTTTGCTAATTGGGTACCGAAATACCCCCAAAAAGGTCCTTCCTTATTAGACTATGTCTAAGACAATATTCCTGGTTCCGTCATTAACCATAAGCACCGAATAACCAAAGCACTTGTCTGTTGTTTAAATAAATTGCAATTGACATGGAATACTAACACGAGATGAAGTTTCCTGCTTTGTACAAAATCTATCCAAAAAATCCACTATTTAAAAAAAATCAAAGAATAACACACCGTCAATCAGCCAATTAAGAGTAAACTTCACCATAGTTAAATTAATAAATTGAAGCGACAAAATGAAGGAAAAAACCATTACCAACAACAAATTACTGACAACTTAAAGTAATATCTCATACAATTCACGTTTTAACCACAAAAAAAGTCAACATCATGTAGATCTGGGTCTAATTTCATAAAAAAAAACTAGTTAGATTGGAATTGAGGTTGCAGACGAATACCTTAAACAAAGAATTTCCTAATTTCGCTGTCTGTGGAAGGCCTAGTGTCATGAGGAAGGGTGCAACGAACGAAAGACCACCGGTAGTTTGCTTGGCGCCGGGAAAAATAGATGAACCAACCAAGTATTGAATGAATTTCAGGCAGACAGTAGGAGAAGTAGGAGAGAGATGAATGGGTAGGAAGGAGAGAGAATGGTACTGTAGTTGCGTGTGGGCCTTTGAGTTTTTGGGGATATTAATGGTTAGGGTTCAATTGAGAACTAATACATCTCAATAAATGAGACAAGGATATTTTTTGTTTTATATTCCATTTGTCGAAAATCAAATTTTATAATGTACTCCGTGTTTCCGTATCCTTGTAATGGGGTATCTTTGGATTAGTGCTATAAAATATTTTCCTTAATTCGCTTGCTCTAATTTGTACACACTTGCTAAGTATGACATAGTATAATGACGTCATCCAAGTTAGGGAAAAACTATGGAGATTGTTTTGATTATTTACACAATACAAATTATAACCATTTACTAAATAATATTGTCGACATCCATTTAATTGGTTAAACCAAATGTGGCCATCACCTAACTTATGAATACTATAAGAACTTAGACCCCTTGTTATTAATATATTGAATGTACCTGAATAGACTTAGCCGACGCTTATTAGGTGTGTAGTTACATCATGATTCGCTAATTATTGTACCTTGTTATCTTCCCCATGACATGCAAGCTAAGTGACCACATGTTATGCATCCTAATGAGGGTGGTGGCACATAATAACATTATTAAGAATCAATTCACCAACTCTATTTGTAGGCCACCTGTTGTAGTAGCTAGGTAGCCATGATTAGGATTATTGTACCACATAGTGTCGGGAAGTTTTTCCCAAGTCCCACGGGGAAGAAATAGCAAGGGAAGAGTCTATTTCTAAAGTGATGTTCAATATACTAGAACAAGGCCTTTTGGGAAGGAGCCAAAAAAACAAAACCGGGCGGGCTGAGCACAAGTATCGGCGGCTCTACACATAGTGCATCAGATCGTACAGAGTTGACCTCTTTTGACTAAGATTTGGGTAAGCCTAAGATGCACTCGTAGAGTACAATCAACTGAGCTTAATGGCCAGATGAGATTAATATTTTTAAAGTCTAAAAACATTGTCACAACATACGTGTACATAAGTTATACGTATATTATAATGAGTAAATTAAAGTTATAGTTCGTATATAAATTATATACGTGGAATATTATAAATCATGCTTATTGGTCGTTACATATTTTGTCCATTAATTTCAACATATAGTTACCTGTGGGCGAATCAAATGTGATAACTTAAAATTGAACTGCTATTAAACAGAAAAGGATTAAAGTAGGAGTCAATGTAACCTGATTTGCATTTTAATTTGTCCTGTTTTTGTTTTTTTTTTTTTTTTGTGTTTATTTGTTTAATAAATTATTTCTCTTTGTTTATTGTTTTTTGGTTTACTCACTAAATTCATAGAAGTTGTTGATGACATCGCCAGTTTTTATGAACATGCCCCGTACTGGTACAAGTTGAATTCAAATTAATGTTTTGCCGCTATTAAAAAATAAAATTAAAATTCATAAATTATACGTTAGCTTGTTGGACACCTATCATCCATTCCATTTGGGTGTGTCAAATATGTACATGTCTAATTTGTGCTTTTTTCTATAAATGTTTTAATTTTTTTTTTAATGGTTATTTATTATTGTAATCAGAGTGTAGAATAAAAAATTAGAATGAATGAACTATACCACTTACATCCACACTGTAGTTATATCTAGAATAATAAAAAATCAAAATTACGCATTCGAACTAGTCGGGTTGCCCAACACCTAGTTAATTGGCTAATTAGTTATTTAATCCCATTTGTGTGTAAGGGTTAGTGAAAGGGGTATTACTAAGGGTTTTGATTACTGTACTGGTAAGGATTTATTATAGGGTATGTTTTAGGGTTTGCCTTAGGTTTTGAGCAAATTTTAAGAATATGGCCAATGTAACGCCACCGCTCAAGATTGAAACAATGACCTTGAATATGAGTTGAATTATGTGGCCACATGTACACCACTTTGTATGTATGTGGTTACTAAAGCATCTTTTTC